GCGGGGGGGCAAAAAATTGTCTCTAGCCCTAAAAATTCTTATTTTGTCCTCATACATAATTATATGAGCATAGCAAAGAATTTTAGTTATGTTTGCAGGGCAAGCAGCAAAATGCAGTGTTAGGTAAAAAATAGGACCACACTTGATATGTATTAATATAGCATCAGAAAGCAGTCAGCAGCTGTATTTCACTTCCCTGGATGCTTGATTAAAACTTCCTTCTTTATACTTTTAAGAAGATTTTCTGTTTTGTAAAATATTAATAAAACCACTTGTTGACATTAGCATTCACTTCCAAACGGGACTTGAAGGTATCTGGAAACTACAACAGGGTAATTACTTGCCTATAGGAAGGATGTTATCCCCAGTCTGTGGTGGGAACTGTTACTAAAGAAAAGTAGCTCTAGCTGCACTAAATTCTCCCATCAACATTGGTAGAATAAAATTAATTAACCGTTGCGTGAATCCATAAGGAATATATTATGTTAAGTTGCACCCTTTTTCTTTATCTTCATGTTCATAAACTCTTTGGTTGACTTTTATTACTCAATTTCCTTTATCTATTTGAATGTTTCTTTTTCCATTTCCTTACTTCTCTTTCCTCTTTTATTCTTTCCTCATCCTATTTACTACAGGAGAATCAACGCATGCAGCAGAATATAGACTCCATAACCAAAGAGGTGTTTGATCTCCAGGAGACAATTAATTGGAAAGATAAAAAAATAGGGGTATGAATCAAATATGGGGGGAAAGGTATCTTTTCATTTTAGAAGTAGATGGATGCCCCCCCACACCCCAAGGGATGCTGTGTACCCCAAAGAAATGAAGGCCACTCCCAATTTAAATATTTAAAATGTTTTGCAGTCTTTCTTTTCTGTAGAATATGAGCTCTACTTCATCTTTACTTGCATAATGATGAGTAACACTAATTAAATTTGTAACATAATAAGCTGTCCTGCATATAATTTTATAATTTTTTTACAAAATATTTTTACCTGTATTCAGGGCTTGAGAAAGTCATCATTTCCTTATTTTTAACAAAGGTAAAAATGGCCTGAGTCCATATATTGATCCATAGTGACATAGCAGTAATATAATTTTATACAGATTTGAAGTTGTTTTTAAAGTTTTTAATCTCCTTAGAGGCAAATACAATTTTCAGAACTTGGAACAGTTCAAAGCTTGCTCGCCATTTGACTCCTGCCTCTGTAGTCATCTTAACAATTTGCTTAAGAATTAGTGGATTTTAAAATAGTCTGCTTTACACTACCTGGGATAAGAGAGATTAAATACCCCAAATAATGGAAAACCTAGAGAGCTGCAGGACCCAAGGGTCAAAATGTAGAGAAGCCTCGGTGAATATTTGTAGATCACGCTTGCATTTGGCATGCCTAGTGCTAAAAAATATGATCTTGAATTGACTTCTGCAGCCAACTTGAGCATTCCTGTATTCACTTCTGATCCTTCTAGGGCTGGTTAGCTTGGATGCAACACTGAACCAAGCTGATTTTGTGATACCACACATAAAATACCAGAGTGACCAGCTACTGGAATTGAGACTTGGAATTGAAACAGTGGTTGTGTGGGACCTTTTGAGGAGCATCTCTAGGGCTTCTGTATAGGAAGGAAGGCGGTACAGGAAGAACTGTGTTGATATTCACTACACAGCTAATGTATATCAGGCAGGGTTTGTCAGCTTGGCTTCTGGGCAGCACAGAAGTGGTAAAACTGTCTGAGTCAGCCTTAGCCTCGGTGATAATTACATGACTCTGAACTTGTGGCTGTTCAGGGCTGCAAGTAGATTGCCTGGTGATGAGAGGGAGTTGACTGGAAAGCCTTTAGAAAGGAATTTTCTGCCTTTTAGTAACTCTAGGGTCATTTCTCTCTAACTGAATTTTATGCCAGATTTTGACACACAGATTTCTTTGAAAATTGCCGTATTTGCTGGAGTTCAAGTCACTTTGAAAAGTTACCTTTTAACCAATGGTGCCCAGTTAAAAAAAGCCCTGTTATACTGTCTTTTTTCAATGCATATTTCATGTTTCAGTCCTTCAATCCTTGTTGCAATCTTCCCTTCTATCATAAAATAATATTTCAACATTTTTAAGTTTTTAAGTTTTTTCTGAACATTCTTCTGAAAGTTTTTTTTTTTCTCTTTAATGAACCATATTCTTTCCATACTTACTCTTCACCTTTGTGTACTGGACTGTCTCAATTTGTGCATTTTTTGTGTGCAAGCACTTTTTTCTCTTTCAAATATGTTGCCAGAGTTAGTACAGAGCATATAATTTATCTAATGTTCAAAACAATAGCTACCAGACAGATTGACAAGAAAGGTATTTTTTTTCCTTTAGCCAAAATTTTCCTGCCAGTTTCTGTGTTCTTGTAAACACCATAACTGGATTTTTTTTCTAGGTGTTTTTTTTACTATCTTGGAGTTGAAATCTCTTAGTTATTAAAATGTAAAAATGCTGCTGTCTCTTCTTTCTCACTTCTGTTATCCAAAAACATTTACATACTTTTCTTAGCTCACAGTTTTTGAGTCTTTCTGCCCGATACTTAATAGCTTTGCTAATTTATACTCTATTCCAGCTTCAGAAGTCTCTGAGAAGCTTCACAAAGGAGTAGTTTATAACTAGAATTGTAACCTAGTTTTACAACGTATGCAAGACTGATGCTGTCTCAGAGGAAGAAAGGGAGGCAAGCAGAACAGAGATAGCATGAGTTTCTTTTACACCTGCCTTCTTATATTGTCCTGTTTCTACAAAATGATTGAAATTTGCAGTTGTATTTGGTCTTAAATTAGATCAATTTGAGGACACTGAACTATAACTTCCAGGTTATATTCCTGAAATATACAGCTATTTTACTGTTTGGTGGATCCAAATTGTACATGCATTGCCAATTTGAAATTAGCAATGGTGTGTCTGAGTTTGGTATAGATTTTGTGAAGGTTTTGGGAATATTTAGAAAATAGGACCTCAGACAAATCTGCTTTCTGCCAAGTGATCAGATTTTAATCACAGTGGTATGTTAACACATGCCTGCAGACCTCAGTTGTCCAGATTTCTGCCCCACCCTGCCCCAATAGAAGAATTACAGAAGTAGATTTAGTACAAAATCCATGTCATATATCATAATCCCTGAGCATACAAACACTAACAGTTTTACTAAAGTTTTTCAACATTAAATAACAATTACTAATCTCTCCATAGGTAGAGATACATGGTTATATCAGTCTCACTTCCTTCCCCATCAAAATTTTCTGATTTCCAACACTTGTGCATAGCAGTTAAGGATAGAAAGGATGTTTTGGGAAGGTCAGCAGCATCACAGGACACTGCCAAGCAAACAGGATCTGTGTCTGCAGTGTCATTCTGGGCCTCTGTGTCCTTTTTCTCAAGTGGATGAGCTTACTTCCCCCTCCATCTCTGCCACTATTCTTCAAAAATGGCAAAGGTGTATGTATCTTTAAGTGGAACACAAAATGATGTAATGATTAAGGTTCTTCATACTGTTTATAATGTAGTTAGAGATCTAGTATGCATTAGGAAATAAAAGGACATCTTATGAATTGTTAAACTATGATGTGACAGCTAATGCTTTCACACATGTTGAATTACCTGTATTTTAAATGTTACATTTACACGCTAATAAAGTGCAAGAGCACTTAAATTTTTCTGTTGAAACTGAGTAATGCATTAAAACATTGCTCCAGTATACAGATTCTAGGTAACTACTGAAATTCAGCACACTGCAATTGTTACATGGGGCGATTATGATACAAAGTATACACCTTCATTTCTTTCTTGGTATCAGTCCCTTCCTAAACATTCATGCATGACATAAGGTTTAGTTGGGTAATTTTTGTGGCAAAATGTGTGTACACTTTTGTAGTTGCTGTATGGTCAGGATTATTTGTAATGCATGCAGTAACTGAATTTGAACAGAATGCTGGGATGCTGCCCAGTCAAGTGAAAGTGTCTGATTAACTGCCAGGTAACACAGCTTCAGCATAAGTAGGCAAACCCATCTATGTCCATATTGCACTTTTTTGTGCTAAAATAGTGCTGCTAGTGTTTGCTGCTTTTTTTTCCCTCTAAAACTGATTGCTTTGGTTTTAGTAAAGGGTGGTTGTAATACTTACAAAAGCAAGTAGTGAATAAACTAGTGTAAGTGGATCACAGGCTTATATATCCAAGGTCTTTTATGAGGTAAGATTTCTACTTCTACACCCTGTAAAAGGCAGAGAAATTAGTTCAATGGATGTAATGTTTTAGGATCTTTGCCAATTGAGTTTCAGCAAATTTTATTTCTGGCCACAGAGTGCCTGTATTGAGAATCACTTACTCTTTGGTATTGAATTTAGGTTATCAAAATCTACCAAAAATAGAATCCACTAAATAAAAATCTATTAAAGAATCTACTAAGACTTGCCTGGGAAAAAACTATGTCATGACAAACATGCAGCAATGAGGCTAGATATATGACTTGTAAAAGGTAGTTATCAGAGATGTATATTTATATATATATTAAATACCCCTTTTAATTTCTTTACTTTTATTGAGCTCTTTGTATTTGCTTGTAGAAAATTTCTCTGCTATCTGTCATATGCTTTTTCTCTGTGCCATTCTTTTTCTTGCTATCTGCCTGAACCCAGGCCCTAGAAAGACAGAAAGATTACTTTGACTGCATTAAGACTGAGCGAGATGAGCTCAGAGAGGAGTTGGCTGACCTGAAGGAAACAATGAAGAGAGGAGAGGTATGTTGGTAGTAGTTACTTTACAGTAACAGAAATCCAGGAATGGGCCGTGAAATCAAGGTCAATGAAAAAGAGGAAGAATGGTTACTATTCTTGTGCAGTCTCAAAACCTGACCTTAGGGTAGGATAAATGGTGCATTTCGTTGTAACTGTTTCGATCAACTTGCAGAGCTTTTTAAAGACTTTTCTGTCCAATTATATTTTAGCATGTATGAGTAGCTTTTTTTTTTTTTTGTATTTTTAGAAACATGGATTAGTTATAATTCCAGATGGCACACCAAATGGTGATGTAAACCATGAATCAGTGGTTGGTGCAATAACAGTTGTATCACAGGAAGCTGCTCAAGTCTTGGAATCTGCAGGAGAAGGACCACTAGGTAAAAAATATCCCAACATACTTTATAGAGTGTTTGAAGTCTTTGTTTCTCTCCTGTTCACAGCGGGTTGTGATTTTACAGCCACAAAAAGATACCTGTGATGCTTCTGGAATACATGCTTACACAACTTTCAAGACTGACTTTTTTTTTTTTTCTTACACTGAATAAAAAGACAGACGTATGTTTTGAGTAAAAAAAAAAAAAAAAGTATGTGCTTGGGTGTTTGTAATTAATTAGATCTCTTGATCCAGTTTCTGGTTTTATTACTGTCAGAAAATATCTTGCCTAAAAGTGTAGACTTTTGCATTAGTATGTTTTCCGTTGTGTTTCATGAAAAAAATCTTTTAAAATATGTATAATCAATGAAAGAACTTCTGTTACAGAAAACAATGCATTGTATATTCTTTCCCCTTCCTTGAAATACTTATGCCTTTATTAGTGTAAAGCAAGTGGAGTCTTTCATCACATCCATTAGGAAAAAAAAGTTTTAAAAGTATTCAAAAAAATGACATAGACAACAGAAAGATAGAGGTTTTAAGGGCCTTTATTTTAACTTGTTTTTATCCTTAGGTTGAACAAGTTATTGTATGCATAGTCAATCCACTGTAAAAAACGTTCATTAACATGCAAAGAAACATCTCTATAGACTTGCATTATATTTGTACATAATATATAATAGTTACATATTTTTGTTTTGACAAAGATTAGACTTGATGCATGTTTCTGCTGTAGCTCCATCATGGTGAAATACAGATGTCTTTATGCTTTATTACTGTCAAAGGTACAATTTCCAGGATACCTGCTCTGATCTTAGCAGGGTGTTGCTTGGCAGACTGTTTTGTAGCCATTACTGATCTTCTGACTGATTAGAGATATTGCAACATTCCTGTGGGTCCTTTCCCAAGTACTGTTTTTCTGTGGTTTGAGAACACTTTCTACAAACTTTCTAAACATATGGGGAAGCTTAGTGTCTTCCCTGAAGAGATAGCAATCTTTAAGAATAAGACAGGGAAAAGAGTATACAATCAGAAGAAAATTTTGTTGGAAATGGCTGTTCTAGATATTGGGACAAAACTGTGGTTTATTACTGAAAAAAAATCCTCAGTTGTTAATCTGCTTTGAAGAATTACTAAACTCAGAGGTCTTGCTTTTAAAATTGTTATACTAATAAACAGTGTGAATGAAATACTTTTCCTTTGTTTCTGCTATTAACTGAAGGCAGGTATGTTGTTATTAGTAAGATACCAAAGTTTCATGCTCCCAGTGCTATTAGCCTTAAGTTTGAAGAGCATGTTAGTTGAAAATTAACAAAAAGTTATGAAAAATATCTTCTTAGTTACCGATTTCTCTGATTTTTAATTGGGTTCTTTGGTTTTAGATGTCCGGCTACGAAAACTGGCTGGAGAAAAGGAGGAATTACTGTCCCAGGTAAAATAAGCTATTCTTTTCAGAAATAGACCATTGTGTATCCTTTTGCAGACTGTTAATATATTAGCAGTAAACAAATACTAAGCACCAAAGGTGCTTAATCAAACACTTAAGCACTAAAGCAAAATAAAATATTCAACCTTTTACCTGGCTGGCTACCAGGAATTACCAGCTCCTCTCACTAGTGTCCTTATACATGTGACTTTGATTGTGGTTGGTAGAGAACCCTCATTTCACTAACTGGTTAGCTGAAATCTAACTGCCTGCTGACTCTACTGTTAGTGCACGTACTTAAAGTTGTTCTTTCTTTCATTTTGTCTTATGCGGAAATACTGCGATGACATTCTCATGAGCTCAAGTGGCACTGTCTTCCAAATTTCTAAGTGGAACTATTTCTTTGATCATTTCAGTTACTCAAAAAATTAATATTATCACAGCAGTCACATTTTAATACAGTTCAGTATTGAGAAGAGAGGACTCAAGAAAATATACACCCATTGAACAACTGTTAAGAATACCATAGTTTTTGTGCTTCTAGTTGAACACATTGCACATTTAAAGTGGTGTTGTCAATATTTGTTTTTGCTGGAACGTACCTTAATTTTTGTATAGATACTTGGTTTAGAATGCTAATAAATTCTAGTATTGAATTAAGGCTATTAAATATAAGTATATAAAGATACATGTGCATATTTATCACCATATAATTGTAAAAATCACTGTTAAAATATTTGATTTATATCACGAATGGAAGTTTGGCAAGTAGAACTCCCACACCGCTAATCTGTAGGGCGATATTTTGCTAAGAGAGTCAGAAAAGTAGCTCCCACTTCTTTCATAAACTCCAGACACAGAGGACATAGCTGAGGATCTGCATTCCCTGACTACTGGAAAAATACCAAGGCAGCTGCTGTAGCATAAAATGGAACTGTTTAAGACTAATGTGCACTATAGACTTGCCTAGGACCATTGCTTCTAGGTGGAGTAAAAGAGGGGACCCCAAAAAAGCTGTGGATTATTCTTTCTGTAAATTTGCCAGGATATTGTTCATTATCTTCATACATGTTTAGAGTGTAAAAGGTATACTGTACAAGAAATGCATAAGCAGAGTTTCACGCCACTGTCTCCCCTGGAAAGGCAGGTCTATTAGAGTTACAGGGCACCCCTGCATTGCACAGAGATCCCTGCAGCACTGACCAAACTGGTGGATTTGTCTTGTGCATTGACATGCAGAGGGCACTCACCCAGCAATGGGGACAAGGGGCTGCAGCCGCAGGCTTTGGAGACTGGCTTCCCTCCCTCCCCTGCATGGCTCTGCTACTCCCGCTTACAGAACCGTCTCAGCCAGTGGCATCTCAGGACTGCTTTGCCTTTTTCCCACTGAACGTTTAGATACACAACTACTGAACTTCTGGGAGTCTCTTTTTCACAAAAGAACACTTCTTTTTCAGGTTAGAAAACTGAAGATGCAGTTGGAAGAAGAACGACAGAAATATTCTAAAAGTGATGGCATGAATCCAGATATCATAGGCTTAGAGAATGGTTCTGACTTGCAGCTAATTGAAATGCAGAGTAGGTATATGGTTCCTGTTCAAAGGTATTCTTACTGGGGAAACACACTCTTCCAGCTCCTTTTCCTATACTGTTGTGCTGTAGTAGTATTGTGAATGAATATATTGTTGAGCAGCTAGTTTTTTGTCAGTGTATCTCCTTGCAGGAAATTTCTTACTGCAGAATAGCTTAAAAATCTGCCTCTCTCATGAAAGAGTGCTGAATAACAACATTCTGGGAAGTTCTTTTTCAGTTGATGACCTTGACTAGAATGGGTGCCACTACTTGAACAATTTCAATTTTTAGATGATAAAATTTCAGCTGAGATATTTTGTTAATATATTCTAGCCGATTTATTTTGTTGAATCTTTGATACAGAAACTTAATCTAAAAGATTCTCTGAAGCAAAACATGAAAAATTATTAAAGTTTAACACAATATCCAGTGTTGCTTTATAGAAGCGCTAAGCTACTTTCCATTTCAAGCAAGCTGTTTCTTTAGCTGAAAACTTTACTTGTTTGACAGATTCATTTAATACGCTTGTGGCAATGAAAGTTAACAGATCACTGGCAATGTCAGGGATAAAATATAACACCAAAATAATTTGCAAAGCTCCTTTGTGTTTGTCAGGCAGGTTCAAGCCTTGTGCTCCTTATTATTCGAATGTTATTACAGATATCTATGCTAAATGCTGCTGGTATTATGCCTATTGTGATTTGACCCATTTTGCAGTGTGTGTTGGTTACTGCATTGATTCTCTTTATTGAGAGATGAGTGTGCTGATCTAAATATGTGTGGTTTAAAAGGTGTGTATCTCATTATACATCAGAGATTTAATGCACACTCCTACAGAGGCAGTAGTTGTGTTCTCTACCTTTTCATATTCTCAAAAAGATTTCCGAAAGAACATTTATCTCTTTATAATCCTGTATACAGCCTTCTCAATAAAATGGTCTTTTTAATGAATTTTAATGGAAAGGGAAATGGGCAGTTTAGACAGTTACTTTGAGTAACATATTCCTGTCAATTTTTGTCTAGGAGATGCCAACAGACAAATTAGTGAATACAAATTTAAGCTTTCGAAAGCTGAACAAGACATAACTACCTTGGAACAAAATGTAAGTGTGTCTGTCTTCATATTTGTTGTTATCATTACACTTGCCTTGTACACTTCTACAATACTTTTTTCAACAAAAACTATGAAAACATATTTCATCATTTGCTTTACTGTTTGTTTTTTAGTTTGCACAGAATGTCATTACATTTGTATTTTCTTATTTCCTGCAATTCAATACCTGTGCATAGTCTAACCATAAGAGAAAATAATTTGGAGTTAATTTACTAAGATGTGAATGTACAGCAGAATATAAAGAGGAACTGAAGCTACTAGTTCAAGAAAATCGGTTTATGTAGCTTAATTACTTGCAAGAAAGTTGTGTAGACTGCGGAAGGTACATAATTTACTCTCTGAAATTCAAGAGTTTGATTTTATAGATATACATATATATCTCACACTGATTTACTCACACTTTGTGATTGTAAGTCAGTAATGTGGCATTATAGTTCAGCATCTCTGTAGATCACCTAAAAATCACGTAAAGGATTATAATTTGAATTGGAGATGCATAGCTGTACTCTCTTGCACAGCAACAGGCTACTAGCCCATCCTGTGGATTTGGGGGCAGCAGGGAGCTATAAATATAATAATCCAGCAAGTGGGCTTTAACCCCTGCAGACTGCAACTAGGATTTGTCTTGAGCCCCTTTTTTACTGCAGAATTCTGTGCTTGAGCTCCAGATGTTTCGCATCATGTCCTGATAACAAGTTACAGTCTCCTTCCTACTTTGCACTTTTTCATATGGTCTCTGCTTTTCAACTTTCCAGCTTTTGTTTTGAATCCCGTGTGTTCCCCAATTCTTGATTTTTCTTTTTCTAACTCTTCTCTCTCTGCTTAGTTCTTTAACCTTTTGTATCTTCTCAGCTGTGTCCTATGCTATGTTGCATTCTCTACCGTTTCCTGTGACCCTCGCCAGGGAGGGACGGGCAGTGAAGGGTATTCCAAGTTTCTGCCCACAATTTGTTTTACTGTTTTATTAGTTCTTTTAAACACTCTCTTTGCAATTATGGGTGCTGCTAACACAGTTAAACCTCTTTCCAGAGGGAGATACTATGGTTAATTCATAGGATGCCTTGTGTTATGGTGGCTTTTCAGAAAGGAAAGAACAGCTGGTGGCAGGTGAGCTCAGGGTGGAACACCTGAGTAATTGTTCCTTTTGTCTTGTTTGGGTTTGCAGATTGGACGACTTCAGGGGCAGGTTGCAAGGTATAAAAATGCAGCAGAAAATGCAGAAAAAGTAGAAGATGAACTCAAAGCTGAAAAAAGGAAGCTTCAGCGAGAGGTAATTGACTTGATTTCCTTTTCAGCTATATACTCCTTTCAGTCTTGAACTGCTCTGTCTTTTGCCTTCAAGCTCTTTTTTTTGTAATCTTCAGTTACAGCTTTTAAATGTTTTTTGAGGAGACGTCTGAGTCTATCAGTGTTGCATTCAGAAGACAACTGTAGCACATAAAAGTAATACTAACTACAATTCAATGCAGTACTTTCTTGAAAGGAAGGATCTAAAGTTGTATTTTCCTCTAAATGTAATGACTTGTACTATTTTAAACTAATCCTTCCATAAAAATTACTGGGGAGCTGAATACCCCTATGTCAAGTGCCAGTCTGGGAAGTTTCCAGCATATACCTCACAGGTTGTGGGGAAGAAGCTGTATTTAGTTGAGCTGTTGATTGTGCTTGCTTAAGAGCTGCTGCATGACTAGCATGATGCCTGCTACCCATGGGAATATATATCCATCAGCAAGTAATAATGGTGGAGAGGACTTTACCTTTAAATAGTGTGTAATAGAAGTTCCAGGCACCTAGTTCTTTTGGAATGAGTACGTTTCATGTTTCAATTGCTTCCCAATATTTTTTTTAACAGTTGAATTCCAATTCATCTGACTGCAATAATGAAAGTGTTGTGTCTTAACTCATGTGGCACTCTTATAAAGCATATAATAACTTGTATTCCTGATTTAATTTCTTCTGTCAAAGCTTAAGAACAGCAGAAAGTCCAAGTAAACTTACTGATCATAACTTTTGCTTTCATTTTATAGTTAAGAACAGCACTGGATAAGATAGAAGAGATGGAGATGACTAATAGCAACTTAATGAAAAGGCTGGAGAAGATGAAGGCAAATAGGACTGCGCTTTTATCTCAACAGTAAAGTGGAAATTGAAAATACAATGCACTGCTCCTTGAATAACTAGCCCCTAGCTTGTTTTTAAATACAGACTTTCACTGGCACAAACTATTTGAACACTGAGCTGTTCATTGATGTTTTAGTTTCATAATTAAATGGCATACTTCTTTTTGTAAGTTATGGGAGAATGAAATGTAGTTTGAATTCCCATGTGAATGGCAGCAATTTTTCTGTAGCATTTGATTCTAGAGTCAGAGCTGGAGCACAATGCTGTATGTTCGACTTAGTGATAGAAAATGTTTTTACAACTGTGGAATCAAGTTTACTCACGATCTCTTGGCTGCTTTAATGATGCTTGATGCTCGGAGACAACTGCATGAATTCAAGAAGACACTGTATTACTGTATTATAAACTAACATATATTTGCTCAAGACATCACACAGCACAAGTGCCTTTTATCTGGTGCAATTTAGACTTCATTGTTGAAATAACCTTTGAAATCAGATAATGTTTTATTTTAAGATACAGTTGGGGTATTCACTAAACTTTATACATTTTGAGAATACATTTTTGTAAAATATTTAAATTTATAAGAAAAAATAGGGACTGTATATAAAAATCTGCTTTTTTGCATGGGCATATCTGAGTTCTAGGTAATTTTGTCAAATACTAGCCCCTGATACTCTTAGTATTAAGAGTGCAGTTTTAAAAACTTCCGTTGTACACCATCAAATTACGTCATCTGCTGCTTAAGTGTGAATTGAAATTTTGGGGTGGGAGGAAGGGTGGGAAATGTGGCTAAGGAGTTTATTAAATGGACACTTTACTGACCAAACCCAGATGTTTTGTGTTTTCTTTTAAATACTGAGATACCAACAGGACAGAGCAAAATCTTTGCAGAAGAGTAAATTCTGATCTCCATATTCTTGAAAAGTATCTTTTTGGCTTTGGAATAGTGAGTTTGAATTTTTTTTTTCTGATTTCTTATCCTGGTCTGCTACTCTTTGACAGTACTGCCATGGAGGAGGGGGGCAGTACAAGGAAGAAGGTGCTTTCTGGAACAATGGTTTCTGTCTGTAGCTTACTCTCTACAGTCAGTGAATGCTGTTAAGAACTTCCACTCTTTTCAAGCTGGCACATCACAAGTGGGAAGTGAGCAGCACCTGCAGTTGCAATTCTGAAGTATTTGAAGTGGCACTGGCCCTGTGTTGGACTTTCCTTGAGGCCAGCAGGAGCCCAACATTTGATCTGAGAGGAATCATTCCGTTGAACTTGTATCAGATGCTTTTCTGTTGCAAATTGCTACACTTCAGGAGTATTTCTCAAAGCAAGGCAGGTTTCAGGACCTTTGCAATCCAGAGCATTAGTGCTTCTGCTTGTACCAGAGCTGCTTTCCAAAGAACAGCCATCTTGACAGTGCAAAACTGAAGCTTTCTGTCTCTTTTGGTGTGGATGCTTCTTGGAGTTGGAAAAGAAGATGCCTTCCCTGCTGAGAAACCTCCTTGTAAGTAGCAGATCTCCCGAGGCCTACTCGTTAAATAGGAGACAGTTGTAGTTTGCTGATCACATAGATCATTCTGTGCCGTCAGCTCTTTACATTCAGTTGTGTACCTGTTCAGAAGAAACTATCGGGGTCTTGAGTAGTTCTTAATGGTGTGTATTCTGAAGATAAAGGGATACTTCAGGGGATTTGAGAGTGTTCATATGTACAAAACTCTGATAAAACCTTATTTGGCATGTGGTGGGGAGCACATCTTTTTAGTTCACTTCCTCTAAACCACCCCGTTGAAGCTGGACATTTTATGGCATGGGGAAAACTGATTTCAATATTAAACCATGACAGTCAGCTAAGGAGTTACTAACTCAGAGTCATCAACCTACTGCAAAACTTTCTGGAGCACAGGTAAAGCATCAGTACATCCTTTCTAAAGATGAAGGTTTCTAGTAGTTTTTTAAAAAGTTGTTTATTACAGAGTTCTGTTAGTGTAGCCATTTTAGTTGTAGAGCTTCCCCAGTTCTTGCTACCAGAAAATCAAAACAAATTCAACAAAATACCCAGAACATGAGATTCCCAATGTGTAGACTAACTGAATAATACTAGATTATGTGATCCAATATGACTCTTAAGGCAACTGAAACAGCTAAGAGGGAGGGAACAGCCCTAGCAAAAATTGATTGCAAACCTTTCAACTTTTTCCAAAACACAACTCTCACCAGAAATAAGAATAATGTTTCACCAGATTCTTGTGAACTCCTTTCATGCAAGTGGACAGATCCAAATAAAAATGAAAAGCAAAAGCAGTAAATAAAACGAACATGATTATAAAGCCTGTTCCATTATTAAGTTTTCCGTATAAAACTGCTTCAGAATCATGCAACTGAACAAAATTTTTGTAATGACCATATCATATCTGACATTTGTTTGAAAATTAGAGTAACTTTGTTTTTCAAGCTGTGATTTTTACAGTGGTATTAGTTATAATGCAAGTTAATGTTGCAAACTACTTCGAATGTATGAAAGGTCTGTCTACTAACAGGGTACGCTGAAATTTTAAGAACAGTCCTCCAGTATGGGTGATGCTAATTAGTAGCTGCCTGTTCAAAGTTTGGCCCTTGATGTTTAACAAACTTTTTTTAAAAGCTCACTTAGCAGCACAGCAGACTTATTGGCCACCTTTTTAGCAATTTGTTTCCCCTCAGCAGTCTAAGCAATCATATTTAGTTGGTGTAATAACAAAATCTTGAGCAGCAAAATGCTTGTTTACTTGCATGTTCCTGAATAACAATTTCCTCCTGAAGAGTCAATACAATGGTCAAGTCAATAACTATTCTTGTAGGGGTACAGGCAGCAGTCGTTTCCTTTCTGGTGTCATCCTTCTCTATTTCTATGTCAGTGTCTTCCCATGGTTTCTTTCTGCAGTATGGAAACAAAACCAACATATGTTTTGTTCTCCTATTACTTAGGCAAAACAGCCGCAGCTGATGAGATACTTGATTCATGTGCTCTAAGTTAACACTGAAAATGCAGAATGTTTCCTAAAGCTTCCTAGAAAGAAAGTTTCGGTTTTACTTCCTAGGCATAATTTATTAGAGAAGGGTGTAGTTCATAAGGGAATTTAAGACTTACTGATCACACCAGGATTCTAATCTTTAAGCACCAAGTCAACTGGGCTCTAAAGGACATGTTACAGAATGTTGATATTTCTAAGGATTTTTTTCACTATCATTTTTCAGTAATACTGGGGGGGGGGGGAGATTCTTTCAAAAGACTTCTGCCTCTAACATCTCCCTGGAGGAGCTATGAAAGATTCTAGTGCTTTTATCTTTATGAGGGTAATGTCTACAAGATTCAGTAATGGAGTTTATCTTTCTATCCCCCTTAAGAGAATGATCTCCAAATAGAGATAGACCAGCATGATCTCACTAAACTGAAGTCCAAAGAGAACAGAAAAGTCTTCAATTTCAGGGCCATGCTGTGAAATAAATAGGTAGCATTGCACAACCTCAGGAAAGATGAGACTTGCTGAGGAGGTGCAATCTCAGCAGGCAAGTGTCCACTGTCACTCAGCCCCTCCAGGCATCACTGTGTCCCCCTGAACATCAGCTACTTCAACCAGACCACTGTCATCTCCCATCTCAACACCCTGTGGTCTCACTGCACCCTCTGGAGGTCCTGCATTAATCTCTGTTGTCCCCTCAGTGAGGCCTGTACTTAGGGGTTGTTCAATGGCTGGAGAAAAGCATACCATTCCTGCTCTCTGGAACCGGTGCAGACTGGAATTCAGACATTTACAAACAAAAAAATTGCCTAGAGAAATACCTCAAAGTGTTCTGAGATTGTTGAGATGACCTGGGAGGTACCATGAAAAGCAGTAACAAGAAAAAAAAAAAAAAAGACAAGAGGTTATTTTGTCTTGATAGAAGTATAGGCATGAAAAAAAAAAAATCTAAGTAATAATGACTGAGACTTGGATAGCAAAAGAGAAAGCTCTTATTTTAATCAAAGCACAGTCCATTTAATCAGAACCAGTGTATCTGTGATAGGCAAGTGAATAGTGGCTACATGACCTTACCAGCATTGCTGGAGACCACAAACTGCTTGTTGGCCAAATGAAAAACAAGCGTTAGCTGTAATTATGGAAAGCTTATAAGGAAAGTTACTGTGTTTGGTCAGACCAGCTGGGGTTTGGTTGAGAAAAAAAGCGTGAGTTGAATTATACTAATCAGATAATTTTGGAGATGTTTGCAAGGGGACAGAGGTGGTTGTTAGTGCCTCTTGCACACAGGGTTATGCCCAATCACTGCCTGCAGAAAGGTGCAAAGTTAGTAGAAAGGGGGCATAAGCATAATTGTAATGTGGCATAATGCCAGTGGTTTTTTTGAGGGCATGATTTTTAACACCCAGCATAGTTCATTCCTCCTTCAAGCTTGTGGGGGTTTTGTTTGGTCCGTGGGGTGTTGCTGGGGCTGGATGGAAAGGCTCGGCGAGTGTTTGTTAGGAGACGGGCGGCAGCACCAAAAAGGTGAAGAGAAACTCGAATTTTCTAATTTGTCTTTTGTGGGACATCACATGCCAAAATGCAGCCTCTGGGGTGCCTAATGTGCTCATGGCATTTTCTACCACGCTCCACTGAGGCCGTGAATCTCCACAGCCTCAGCTTGCGTGCCAGGGGATCTTCACCCTCTCCCGCTCAAAACCAGGAGTCCGCTAACTGCGAGCTGTTCATTTAATGCCCCCCCCCCCCCAAAAAAGCTACACAGGTGAGGCCACTCAGGCTGAGCGCAGAAACGCCACCACTGTACCCCCACACGCACACAGCCCTGCAGGCAGGCGGAGGGCTGAAGTGCCCTGCGGCAGCGGCTCGGGGTCGGCCCGCCGCGGCGGTTGGGGTGGTCGAGGTCTCCCCGCCCGGCCACCGGCGGGTGTCGCG